ACATTCCCCACTACACACAGACACCCGGCGTCACATTCCCCACTACACACAGACACCCAGCGTCACATTCCCCACTACACACAGACACCCAGCGTCACATTCCCCACTACACACAGACACCCAGCGTCACATTCCCTACTGCACACAGACACCCGGCGTCACATTCCCCACTACACACAGACACCCAGCGTCACATTCCCCACTGCACACAGACACCCAGCGTCACATTCCCCACTACACACAGACACCCAGCATCACATTCCCCACTGCACACAGACACCCAGCGTCACATTCCCCACTACACACAGACACCCAGCATCACATTCCCCACTACACACAGACACTCAGTGTCACATTCCCCACTACACACAGACACCCGGCGTCACATTCCCCACTACACACAGACACCCAGCATCACATTCCCCACTGCACACAGACACCCAGCGTCACAATCCCCACTGCACACAGACACCCAGCGTCACATTCCCCACTACACACAGACACTCAGCGTCACATTCCCCACTACACACAGACACCCAGCGTCACATTCCCCACTGCACACAGACACCCAGCGTCACATTCCCCACTACACACAGACACTCAGTGTCACATTCCCCACTACACACAGACACCCAGCGTCACATTCCCCACGGCACACAGACAACCAGTGTCACATTCCCCACTACCACAGACACCAGCGTCCACATTCCCCCACTACACACAGACACCCAGCGTCACATTCCCCACTACACACAGACACTCAGCGTCACATTCCCCCACTGCACCAGACACCCAGCGTCACATTCCCCACTACACACAGACACCCAGCGTCACATTCCCCACTGCACACAGACACCAGCGCCACATTCCCCACTGCACACAGACCTCGGCGTCACATTTCCCCACTACACACAGACACTCAGCCGTCACATTCCCCACTACACCAGACACCCAGCGTCACATTCCCCACTACACACAGACACCCAGCGCCACATTCCCCACTGCACACAGACACCTGATCGACTCAGCTTCACATTCCCCATACACACAGACACCCAGCGTCACATTCCCCACTACACACAGAGACTCAGCGTCACATTCCCCACTGCACACAGACACCCAGCGTCACATTTCCCCACTACACACAGACCACCCAGCGTCACATTCCCCACTACACACAGACACCCGCGTCACCATTCCCCACTGCACACAGACATCCAGCGTCACATTCCCCACTACACACAGACACCCGGCGTCACATTCCCCACTACACACAGACACCCAGCGTCACATTCCCCACTGCACACAGACACCCAGCGTCACATTCCCCACTACACACAGACACCCAGCGTCACATTCCCCACTACACACAGACACCCAGCGTCACATTCCCCACTGCACACAGACACCCAGCGTCACATTCCCCACTACACACAGACACCCAGCGTCACATTCCCCACTGCACATCAGACACCCAGCGTCACATTCCCCACGCATCACATACCACTACACAGCAGACACCCAGCATCACATTCCCCACTACACACAGACACCAGCGTCACATTCCCCACTACACACAGACACCCAGCGTCAACATTCCCCACTGCACACAGACACCCAGCGTCACATTCCCCACTACACACAGACACCCAGCGTCACATTCCCCACTACACACAGACACCAGCGCCACATTCCCCACTACACACAGACACCCAGCGTCACATTCCCCACTGCCACACAGACACCCAGCGTCACATTCCCCACTGCACACAGACACCCAGCGTCACATTCCCCATCTGCACACAGACACCCAGCGTCACATTCCCCACTACACACAGACACCCAGCGTCACATTCCCCACTGCACACAGACACCCAGCGTCACATTCCCCACTACACACAGACACCCAGCGTCACATTCCCCACTACACACAGACACCCAGCGTCACATTCCCCACTACACACAGACACCCAGCGTCACATTCCCCACTACACCACAGACACCCCGGCGTCACATTCCCCCACTACACACAGACACCCAGCGTCACATTCCCCAATACAACAGACAGACACCCAGCGTCCATTCCCCACTACACACAGACACCCGGCGTCACATTCCCCACTACACACAGACACCCAGCGTCACATTCCCCACTACAACACAGACACCCAGCGTCACATTCCCCACTGCACACAGACACCCAGCGTCACATTCCCCACTGCACACAGACACCCAGCGTCCACATTCCCCACTACACACAGGACACTCAGCGTCACATTCCCCACTACACACAGACACCCAGCGTCACATTCCCCACTGCACACAGACACCCAGCGTCACATTCCCCCCTACACACAGACACCCAGCGTCACATTCCCCACTAACACAGAACACCCACGTCACCTTCCCACTACACAGACACCCAGCGTCACATTCCCCACTGCACACAGACACCCACGTCACATTCCCCACTACACACAGACACCCAGCGTCACATTCCCCACTACACACAGACACTCAGCGTCACATTCCCCACTGCACACAGACACCCGGCGTCACATTCCCCACTGCACACAGACACCCAGCGTCACATTCCCCACCTGCACACAGACACCCAGCGTCACATTCCCACTACACACAGACACCCGCGTCACATTCCCCACTGCACACAGACACCCAGCGTCACATTCCCCACTACACACAGACACCCAGCGTCACATTCCCCACTGCACACAGACACCCAGGTCACATCCCCACTGCACACAGACACCCAGCGTCACATTCCCCCACTACCCACAGACACCCAGCGTCACATTCCCCACTACACACAGACACCGGCGTCACATCCCCACTACACACAGACACCCAGCGTCACATTCCCCACTGCACACCAGACACCCAGCGTCACATTCCCCACTGCACACAGACACCCAGCGTCACATTCCCCACTGCACACAGACACCCAGCGTCACATTCACCACTACACACAGACACCCGGCGTCACATTCCCCACTGCACACAGACACCCAGCGTCACATTCCCCACTGCACACAGACACCCAGCGTCACATTCCCACTACACACATACACCCAGCCGTCACATTCCCACCTACAACAGACCACCCAGCGTCACATTCCCCACTACACACAGACACCCGGCGTCACATTCCCCACTACACACAGACACCCAGCGTCACATTCCCCACTGCACACAGACACCCAGCGTCACATTCCCCACTACACACAGACACCCAGCGTCACATTCCCCACTGCACACAGACACCCAGCGTCACATCCCCCACTACACACAGACACCCGGCGTCACATTCCCCACTGCACACAGACACCCAGCGTCACATTCCCCACTGCACACAGACACCCAGCGTCACCTTCCCCACTACACACAGACACCCAGCGTCACATTCCCCACTGCACACAGACACCCAGCGTCACATTCCCCACTGCACACAGACACCCAGCGTCACATTCCCCACTACACACAGACACCCAGCGTCACATTCCCCACTGCACACAGACACCAGCGTCACATTCCCCACTGCACACAGACACCCAGCGTCACATTCCCCACTGCACACAGACACCAGCGTCACATTCCCCACTACACACAGACACCCGGCGTCACATTCCCCACTGCACACAGACACCCAGCGTCACTTCCCCACTGCACACAGACACCCAGCGTCACATTCCCACTACACACAGACACCCAGCGTCACATTCCCCACTGCACACAGACACCCAGCGTCACATTCCCCACTGCACACAGACACCCAGCGTCACATTCCCCACTACACACAGACACCCAGCGTCACATTCCCCACTGCACACAGACACCCAGCGTCACATTCCCCACTGCACACAGACACCCAGCGTCACATTCCCCACTGCACACAGACTGTGGCATCGTGATGGGTGTAGTTGTTGGCTGCGGTGTTCCAGCCAGCGGTGGAGCGACCCTGGCTGATGCCGCTGCTGCTGCTGTCTGCGATGTGTGTGATGTGCGTGATGTGTGCGATGTGTGAGTGATGTGTATGATGTGCGTGATGTGCGCGATGTGTGTGTGATGTGTGTGATGTGTGTGTGATGTGTGTGTGATGTGTGTGTGTGATGTGAGTGATGTGTGTGATGTGTGTGTGATGTGTGTGTTATGTGTGTGATGTGCGTGATGTGCGTGATGTGTGTGTGATGTGTGTGATGTGTGTGTGATGTGTGTGTGATGTGTGTGTGATGTGTGTGATGTGTGTGTGATGTGTGTGTGATGTGGTGTGTTGATGTGTGAGTGATGTGTGTGTGAGGTGTGTGTGTGATGTGTGTGATGTGTGTGATGTGTGTGATGTGTGAGTGATGTGTGTGATGTGTGTGATGTGATGTGTGAGTGATGTGTGTGTGATGTGTGAGTGATGTGTGAGTGATGTGTGAGTGATGTGTGTGTGATGTGTGAGTGATGTGTGTGTGATGTGTGAGTGATGTGTGTGTGATGTGTGAGTGATGTGTGTGTGATGTGTGTGATGTGATGTGTGTGATGTGTGAGTGATGTGTGAGTGATGTGTGGGATGTGGTGATGTGTGAGTGTGTAGTGATGTAGTGTGTGATGTGGTGAGTGATGTTGTGTGGGATGTGTGAGTGATGTGTTAGTGCTGTGTGTGAGTGATGTGTGATGTGGAGTGATGTGAGTGATGGTGTGTGATGTGTGAGTGTGTGTGTGGGAGTGTGAGTGTGTGAGTGATGTGTGAGTGATGTGTGTGATGTGTGTGTGATGTGTGGTGATGTGTGGTGATGTGGATGATGTGTGAGTGATGTGTGTGTGATGTGTGTGTGATGTGAGTGATGTGTGATGTGTGTGATGTGTGTGAGTGATGTGTGAGTGATGTGTGAGTGATGTGTGAGTGATGTGTGAGTGATGTGTGAGTGATGTGTGAGTGATGTGTGAGTGATGTGTGAGTGATGTGTGAGTGATGTGTGTGATGTGTGCGAGCGTAGATCCTCATGGCGGAGGATCGGGAGCTCAACCAGTGGAGCTCACTCAAAAAGACCTGCATGTACCGGTGAGCCCTCACCCTCACCTGCACGTACCCTCACCCTCACCTACACATACCCTCACCCTTACCTGCACGTACCCTCACCCTCACCTGCACGTACCCTCACCTCACCTGCACATACCCTCACCCTCACCTACACATACCCTCACCCTCACCTGCACGTACCCTCACCCTCACCTGCACGTACCCTCACCCTCACCTGCACGTACCCTCACCCTCACCTACACATACCCTCACCCTCACCTGCACGTACCCTCACCCTCACCTGCACGTACCCTCACCCTCACCTACACATACCCCCACCCTCACCTGCACGTACCCTCACCCTCACCTACACATACCCTCACCCTCACCTACACATACCCCCACCCTCACCTGCACGTACCCTCACCCTCACCTACACATACCCCCACCCTCACCTGCACGTACCCTCACCCTCACCTACACATACCCTCACCCTCACCTGCACGTACCCTCACCCTCACCTGCACGTACCCTCACCCTCACCTGCACATACCCCCACCCTCACCTGCACGTACCCTCACCCTCACCTGCACGTACCCCCACCCTCACCTGCACGTACCCTCACCCTCACCTGCACGTACCCTCGCCCTCACCTGCATGTACCGGTGAGCCCTCACCCTCACCTGCACGTACCCTCACCCTCACCTGCACGTACCCTCACCCTCACCTGCACGTACCCCCTCTCACCTGCACGTACCCTCACCTGCACGTACCCTCACCCTCACCTGCACGTACCCCCACCCTCACCTGCACATACCCTCACCCTCACCTGCACATACCCTCACCCTCACCTTGCATGTACCCTCACCCTCACCTGCCACGTACCCTCACCCTACACCTGCACGTACCCTCACCCTCACTGCACGTACCCCCTCTCACCTGCACGTACCCTCACCTGCACGTACCCTCACCCTCACCTGCACGTACCGGTGAGCCCTCACCCTCACCTGCACGTACCCCCACCCTCACCTGCACGTACCCTCACCCTCACCTGCACGTACCCTCACCCTCCCCTCACCTGCACGTACCGGTGAGCCCTCACCCTCACCTGCACGTACCCCCACCCTCACCTGCATGTACCCTCACCTGCACGTACCCCTCACCCCACCCTCACCTGCACGTACCCTCACCCTCACCCTCACCTGCACGTACCCTCACCTGCACGTACCCTCACCCTCACCTGCACGTACCCTCACCCTCACCTGCACGTACCCTCACCCTCACCTGCACGTACCCTCACCCTCACCCTCACCTGCACGTACCCTCACCTGCACGTACCTCACCCTCACCTGCACGTACCCTCACCCTCACCTGCACGTACCCTCACCCTCACCTGCACGTACCCTCACCTGCACGTACCCTCACCCTCACCTGCACGTACCCCCACCCTCACCTGCACGTACCCTCACCCTCACCTGCACGTACCCTCACCCTCACCTGCACATACCCTCACCCTCACCTTGCATGTACCCTCACCCTCACCTGCACGTACCCTCACCCTCACCTGCACATACCCTCACCCTCACCTTGCATGTACCCTCACCCTCACCTGCACGTACCCTCACCCTCACCTGCACGTACCCTCACCCTCACCTGCATGTGTTGGTGAGCCCCCACTCTGCGTCTGGATGTGGCCCACGCCACACACGGCACACACGGCACACGTGGCACACGCGCACACAGGCTGCGGTCTGAGTGTTGTGAACCCGGCCATGATGATGATGATCATGCTGACGGAGGCAATGCTAATGCTGCTGCTGCTGCGATGTTACTGGTGACGATGGTGCTGATGGCGGTGTTGATGTCGTGCGATGTGCGTTGCTGTGATGATGATGCTGGTGACGACGCTGCTGATGATGCTGATGGTGCTGATGGCGGTGTTGATGCTGTACGATGTGCGCTGCTGTGATGATGATGATGCTGGTGACGACGCTGCTGATGGTGCTGATGGTGCTGATGGCGCTGATGGCGGTGTTGATTGGCGTGCGATGTGCGCTGCTGTGATGCTGTTTAGCTCGGAGGAGGAAGAGCTCCGGGATTTGAGGTTGGCCCGTAAGCGCGCTCACGACTGGCGGAGAAAGCAGAGAATCCTCAAGTCCCTCACGCAGAGGTGAGGTCACCTCCACACTGGGACCCAGTCTCTCCTCCACCCTGGGACCCAGTCTCTCCTCCACCCTGGGACCCAGTCTCTCCTCCACCCTGGGACCCAGTCTCTCCTCCACCCTGGGACCCAGTCTCTCCTCCACCCTGGGACCCAGTCTCTCCTCCACACTGGGGACCCGTCTCTCCTCCACCCTGGGACCCAGTCTCTCCTCCACCCTGGGACCCAGTCTCTCCTCCACCCTGGGACCCAGTCTCTCCTCCACCCTGGGACCCAGTCTCTCCTCCACCCTGGGACCCAGTCTCTCCTCCACCCTGGGACCCAGTCTCTCCTCCACCCTAGGACCCAGTCTCTCCTCCACACTGGGACCCAGTCTCTCCTCCACCCTGGGACCCAGTCTCTCCTCCACCCCTGGGACCCAGTCTCTCCTCCACCCTGGGACCCAGTCTCCTCCTCCACCCTGGGACCCAGTCTCTCCTCCACCCTGGGACCCAGTCTCTCCTCCACCCCTGGGACCAGTCTCCTCCCTCCACCCTGGGACCCGTCTCTCCTCCACACTGGGACCCAGTCTCTCCTCCACCCTGGGACCCAGTCTCTCCTCCACCCTGGGACCCAGTCTCTCCTCCACCCTGGGACCCAGTCTCTCCTCCACCCTGGGACCCAGTCTCTCCTCCACCCTGGGACCCAGTCTCTCCTCCACACTGGGACCCAGTCTCTCCTCCACCCTGGGACCCAGTCTCTCCTCCACCCTGGGACCCAGTCTCTCCTCCACCCTGGGACCCAGTCTCTCCTCCACCCTGGGACCCAGTCTCTCCTCCACACTGGGACCCAGTCTCTCCTCCACCCTGGGACCCAGTCTCTCCTCCACCCTGGGACCCAGTCTCTCCTCCACCCTGGGACCCAGTCTCTCCTCCACACTGGGACCCAGTCTCTCCTCCACCCTGGGACCCAGTCTCTCCTCCACCCTGGGACCCAGTCTCTCCTCCACCCTGGGACCCAGTCTCTCCTCCACCCTGGGACCCAGTCTCTCCTCCACACTGGGACCCAGTCTCTCCTCACCTGGGACCCAGTCTCTCCTCCACACGGGACCAGTCTCTCCTCCACCCTGGGAACCCAGTCTCTCCTTCCCACCCTGGGAACCGCAGCTCTTCCTCCACCCTGCGGGACCAGTCCCCCAACCTGGGGACCCAGTCTCTCCTCCCACTGGGACCCAGTCTCCTCCTCCACCCTGGGACCCAGTCCCTCGTCCTCCACCCCGGGACCCCAGTCTCTCCTCCACACTGGGACCCAGTCTCTCCTCCACCCTGGGACCCAGTCTCTCCTCCACCCTGGGACCCAGTCTCTCCTCCACCCTGGGACCCAGTCTCTCCTCCACACTGGGACCCAGTCTCCCTCTCCTCTGCCCTCAGGCCCAGTCTTAATCTCTTCCACATCTCATTTTCTTCCACAGTTAAATTTTTACTTAATTTGTCCACACGTATTGCAGGAACATGCATAGCCACAATCATGATGACGATCATCATCATCATCATCACCACCACAATCACCCAAAATACTCAACTAAAACTATTTATTTATTCTACCAGGTTAAGGCCCGCTGGGCTGTGTAGCGTTTTTTCACAAGTGGGACTGGCCGCCACAAACAACAGCTCAGTGAAGCGGCTTGTGTTTGTGCGTTGGTTGAACTTCCTTCGCACTCTACATCGCCAACCGTGCTCATCACGTGGAAATCGAGAGCAGCAGACACATATACTCTAAACGCGTGGTGGTGACGCTCTTGCTAAATGTGGAGGGGAAAACCGGAGGACCCAGAGAAAAATCCACGTGACCACCGCAGGGAGGGACTCCAAATATACAGCAGCAGCAGCAGCAGGCGTCAGGGTCTGGGTCGAACCCACGACCTCCTGTAGACCAGGCGAGGTAGTCAACATCTCCTAGCCACCGTGATGATGATCATGATAAGAGAAACGCAGACTCCAAATATACAGCAGCAGCAGGCGTCAGGGTCGGATCGAA